CAGAAATAGTATCTAAAATGATCTCAGTTTCCAAAGTTAAGGAAAAGATCTAATCTAAACACACATATATTAGGCAGGATGTATTTGTTTGAAAAAGAACCCACTCTTTTGTGAAATTAAGAGGTTTATAGGTGAAAATTGTAAATTTAGAAATAAGTTTTATTTTTTCGTTTGAACTGAGATCAATATGTGATTTTTTTTTATTTCTTTAAAAGCATTTGTTTTTTTAACAATTACAGCAGATGCAAATAATGTTCTGAGAGATAATTGAAAAACAATGGCCATTGAATAACATTTTTTGATAGTAGAAATAAAAGTTTTAAAAACGTTATTTCACTAACAAAGTAGAGGAATGACATACAGTATACAGTACTTTAACTACCAAAATATGGTATTCGATGAATAACCAATTTATAAATAATTTTTTGATAGTTTTATGTTTTTGTTTATCTATTAATAATCAGAGTCTGTTGTTTTGGAATACATATGCAACACTACAAAATTAATAATTGCTTTGATTGCATTATATTGTTGATAAAACTTTAACTATTTATCAACCAAAGTTACCAAACAAGACCTATCTTGATTACAATAGGTTTGAAATAGCTAAAAATATAATTTTATGACTTAAAAGTAACAAATGGGTTTTTGATTGTGTGTGGGGCATTCTAAAGAAAAAATGTTAACATTTAACCTTAGAATATATATCTAAATCAAGCATGAATGATTATGAACTTACTGAATGGCATGCCTTAAGTTCCCTACTCAGGGTCAAGAGGACTGATGCGGTGAGTACTTGCACTATGCTGGACCGAGGACTGTCCAAGCACAAGATGTACTGGTCCCAAGCAAATAGCACTGCATCCATCGTTAAGTAACCTGTGTCAAGAAAATGGGGGCCGTAATGGATGATGCTACAATAGCTATTCCAGTACATTTGTTTGACATTCAATTTAGTTTGTTCTTACCGACAAAAAAACATCTGATCATTGGTCGAATTAGCCTTGACCATGGACTCAAAACAGAAGTAGCCTCCTTACTTGATGAGGTATCTAAAATGCAAATCAGAAAAAAACATAAGGTTAACTTGAGATGTATACGTTAGGACTTAGCAAATGCCAAAACAGGTAAAAGGGGAGAAATCAGATATTAACTGGAGTGTTGTTTTCATTTTATACTGTAAGACTTGGATGTTGGTCAGACCATAGTAGGCTACTTACCCTCTTTTTGACATACGCCCTCTATGTGTGTTGCTAGATCCTCATTACCTCTTTTAAGAAATTCAATCAACTTAGAAACAAACAGTTCAATTGATGCTTGAAAGTTCTGAGAAAAAAGGTATTAGATGAGTAATAGTAATTTATATATCTATATTTATTTGTCATACCTTTTAAAGTTTTAATACTTTATATTCTGTGTTTAACCATATTCTAATAATGTTTTCAAGTGTATTTTAAGCAACTGGATCGATGACAATTTGATTCCTTATCACACAGTATTTCACTACATCGAATGTGTTTGCCAAAATATTTTTTATATTTCATCTTATTACGAATCATTTAACATCCTTCATTCATTTCGATGTTATTACCGCATGATAGGACTCCTTCAGGTACGTGGGTCTTGTTGACATAAAGCTCTGATATTCTTGAATCATCAATAACATAGTGGGCCGACTGATAAGCTCTTCAGGCTTGTTGTCCATGAGTGCAACGACTAGGAAAGGTACCGCTAACATGATATCTGGCTCTAGTAATGGCGTTTTGGTCTGTTTTCTAGCATGATGATAAGAAAGAATGGACTTCATAGCATGTAAAATACCTGAAAGGAATTGGAGATTACAAATAAAATCTTCTATGAATATGACATATAATACAAAAAAACCTCCCCAATTGCTGTTAATACCAATTTAGAATTTAATTTAACTAAAGTGTAGAAGGTTGTATTTGGCAAAATGATACTGTAATTAGCAATAACAACAGCAACAGATAAACTATTTAATTCAAGTATGGCAAATCAACTGAACTGGAAATTATACTACAGTTCAAATTCTTTTCGGTTACATTTGGAAATCAAGATCATTCAATTGAGGGTGGGGGGTAGTTTGATCACCCTGTCGGACATGTCAGACCCCTTGTCGGACAATTTCTGGAGCCACCGCTGCAACGATTACTCTCTGCCCATACATCATTTTGGTAAAATGTTATCATAGGATGAAAACCTATGTGTAAGGTGTGAAATATATTAATTAAATAATGAGACAGTGGCCTTCGCATGAGTCCATTTTATTAGACAACATTATCACTATCTTCATTTGATTGACAGTAGATTTTCTTACTCCTGTTATTTGCTAATGGACGGAATGTTGGCTCGGTTTGTAACGCTGCTTCTGATTTGTGGATGATTTCCAAATCCAATACAGACATCAAATCATTGGGATTCCTCTTTAATATATTGCAGTATTCCTTAGCAACTGAAATATCAAGATACAAATAAATATCAAGGAAAATATTGAGCATTTTTGTAGAATAACTATTATGAAAATGTTTTATCCAAATATAATTATATAAAATCATGTATTATGAATGTGTGATTTAAAGTAACAAATATTTAAACATATTTTTTAACTCAAATTTATGAAAGGAGTAATGAAGTTCAATTTTGAATAATGCAATGTTATAAAACTGGTCAGTATAATTTTATCAAAATAGTTACCAAAATTATAATATTGTAGTACAGTATTGGTAATTTTTGAATAGGGAAGGCATAAAAGATTATCAATTTTTAGTGAGAAAAAAGGAGAAATACTATCTCAAGCGGTTTGATGCAGTGGGAATGGTTTGGTTTCAATCCTTTGTTGTGCATTTTGTTTGTGTCCTTGAGCAAGCCACTTTATCTACATTGCTTCAGTCTACCCAGCTGCATCAGTGGGTACCAGCAAATTTATGGGAGTAACCTGTGGTGGACCAGAGTCCCATCCAGGGGGAGCATCACGCTCTCATCTGCTTCATGCTACAGAAACTGGGGATAAGCTGAAGCCCTATGAGCCTAGTGGCTTGGCAAGGATTTACTTTACTTTTTTTAACTCACTTGATGGATTTTGAAGATGCAGTTTCCATGAAAGTTCACGGAATGGAATTAAAGGCTGGTTCAAGAAAATCTTCAACTTTGATTTCATCTCTGGCCATTGTTTTAAAAGGTGACTGGCGCCCTCTACAACATGCTGGAACAGTAACTGTGGTTTTGTATCCGATCGAGTAGGAAATGATTTCAATAGCTCTTTGTTCACCTCTTGGCTTAGCTTTTCATCAACATCTTTAGATAACTTTTGTTGAAATTGTTCAAAGTTGTTTCCTGAAAATACAATAGGATAGGGTTTCTAATTTAAATACTTGGAATTTAGTTATTTAGGAATCAAATATGCATGTCCAAATTCAGAAATTTAAAATTCTTTTCATTTACATGCCATACACTGTTGGACATGAAAAAGAAAAAAAATTGCTTTTGTGTAATATGTTCTAAAACATAGCTTAATATGGCTCAACCTTGTTTCTCTAGGGATCCCTGGACCCCAGCAAATCTTCGGCTCGCACCTGGCTGGCCACCACTCAAAATTTTCAGACCCCCTTAGACTCCTGAATAATATTTTAACATTCAAAACTGGGTTACCATGTTTTAATGTAGTTGCAGCCTTGTTAATGAGTAGCTTTTTCTCATTATCTGACAGATCACCAAAATCCTTCACTCCAGTTACCCTCATTTCATTCTGCAGTGCAGTCTGAAGATCCGATGAAAATGACTTCCATTCCTGCAAAAATTCAAATGGTGGCATGGATTAAAAAATAGCTAAGCAAACCAAACTAAATCTTAAAATATTGATAATCTGGAATTTGGCTAAAGAATATATTCTTGTATCCAGTCACCTGAAACATGTTTCGGAATTCTCAATTTTTTATGTGACTAAATAAAGGTTTATTGGCAGGAATATTCTCTGCATGGTTGGGGCAGTGGAGTTGAATAGCTTGGTGGTTAAGATGCTTGCCTTCCAATCCCAGGGTCCTGGGTTCAATTCCTGCCAGTTGCAGGATTTTTTCTCACGACATAAACAACTCCACTCCCTAAATCTCATATTCAGATAGTTTGTGTAAAGCATTTAGCATGTGTGTATGTTTGTCTTGTGTAAGGGATTGTCACCTCCAAGTAGGACAGTGATATATATTCGCTATTGGCAATCCTTGGCACGTGTGTTGTGTGCCTAAAGAAAGAAAAAAAATATATATATATATATTTTTTACTGTGATGTCCAATACAAAAATGGTGAGACCAAGACCAACCAAAGTGAACTGGTTCACTGAACTGAACCACTGTGTAGCAGTGCTGGTTGGCCAAGCCAAGTCTTTATTACAATATTTAATAAGGGCAAATAGAAAAATTTATTAGATTATCACTCCCGTCCGCGTCAAAAATTCAGGAAATATAGATGCAGGAATAAAAAAAAAATTTTTTTTTTGCCGCATCAATTATTCTAACAGCATAAAATAACAATGCAATTTTGTGACTTCAAATACATTTTCTTTAAAAAACTATAAAATTAAACCAGTTTTTATACTATATTACAACAGGCCCGGGTACAGGCCAAATATAAGTAGTCCCTCCCTCATCAATAAAAACAAAAGCGAAATAATTTATTGTACCGATTAAAAAAAAAAAAAAAAAAAAAACCGCTCAAAAAAAAACGCCCTCCCTCATTAATTTTAAAAAAAAGAGTGATAATCTAATAATTTTTTTATGTGCCCAATGTTCATTTTGTTTTCATATCGAAAACATAATCATTAAAATTTAAATCATATGATAAAGCAATAATTTAATTATACAATTTACAAAATTAAAGTATAGTAAGACTAGGGCCTAAGCACGCACTAGCAATGGCCAACAAAGGCCAGCTGAGCAAGCCAGATTATTTTTTCTGAGCTTCATCCCACCCAGCAAAAAAAGCACCTAGGCCTCGGCCTACACTACACAAGCCAGCTAATAGGCTAGGGCTAGCTTGGGCTGGGCTAGCGTTCGGACCTAGGTTGCCTAGTGCTGGCGTCATTAGCAACACTCGTATACAATGCTTAACTACGCCAAACATTCATATTTTGGCATAGCATGCTCTATGTGATGTCAATTTATACATATAAAAATAAAAAATAATATACCGCAGAGTTAATCAATGACTTTTTGCATGTCAAAAGCCATTCCGACGGAAAATTTCTGTCCGCTGCCATGTTTGTTTGCAAACATTGTGATTTCCAAACGTAGAATAAACATTGGTTCTGATTGGTTAGTCTTTTCTATAGATTCAGTAACAGCCAATCAGTACAGGCATAGAATGAACAATAGCAAAGCACTGAAGCGTGTAGTAGTAAGTAAAGAAAGGATTCCTCTACTTGTGAATGGATGGTGGCATGCAGATATAAGAAGAGGGTGCCAACAACAGGCTTACATTCACAATACAGTAAATAGTTTTTATTCTCGGTCTCACAGAGCTGTTACAGAATAAATATGGTTAATTCTTCATACCACATAGCAATAGCATATTTATTTATCATTTTGTGTTTACAAAAATGTAAGTATTTTGCAAACTACAACAACTAAACTAGAGAGAGGGCTAGGCTAGGCTACTTACCTTACTACTTTCTAGGAGGAGGAGCCTAGACTACTAAACAAGGCCCTATCCTTCCTTCTCTAACGTCCTAGAGGGCCTCTCTAGGACGTGGCCTCTCTATCTATTTAGCCTAGGATTAGTTAGACTTCCATACCAGGCTATTTAGAATAGGACATTTTGTATAATATAATTGTTACTAACAATGCATGAGGCCCATGGAACATCATATTTTTGAGATTGTAGAAAAAGGGCCATTATTGAATAATAACCAGTCATTTTTTCAACACTGTTATATATTGTTTTAAAAGGTGTCTTCAACATTGACTGAATCTGCTTTTGACAACCATTTTATTTTAAATTCATTCACATTTTTAGGAACAAGGTGGCACCAGCAGGCTTCAGAGGGATCATGCCTCCTCCATCAGACGGGCAGGAACTCCGTCTCTGTCCAACAATAACATCATGACGAGGTCGTCAGAACAAAAATATTAAATTACCAATCCGAATAGTGTTCTGATTGCCAATCCCTAGTAATTGTTAAAAGCACAAGTTTGAGTCACCTAGGTCATAAAAACTCTCCCCATGAACTCTACCAGGGATTATATTCCAGGACCCTGACCAAGGCTGTAGTTTTCCTCTTGGTTCGGGCCCACCTATCAAATTTAAAATATGTTAGCAAAATTTATGTAGCCACCACTGGCAAAGATATGCCAAAAAGCGAACTTAATCGCTTTTCTTAGTTGCACCTTTACAAGACAAATATACGTAAAAGATACTCTACATAGACTAATCAACATCAGATGAATCATTCCAAAGTTACAGAGCAAGGAATGACACTGGGTTTCTCAAAATATAACTTGAGTAACCTTGTATTTTTACTCAGATATTTACCCCACTAAATTGTAGAAACAATTGAGCACTCTGAATAATAAATAGATATATATTATATAGTAGCAAACATTGACAGTTTACAACTTGTTTATGTACATTATTTGCTGCTGATATTGCTGCGATCGTATTTGAGGCTTGCTATCCCAAAACCAGCGTACTGTCGCTAAATGTTAAACTGAGTTTATTAGCATATTCAGTATTGTATTCTTTAGAACAGAGAAGCTGTAATATTTTTATTCGTAACTTTGGCAAAAGTAATAAGTCGATTTCAGTAAATGACCCATCACTTTGAGGCATATAATTTGGAGAATCAGTCAATTTTCTTGTTCTGGTTACCGTACTGATGCTGGTTTTTGCATGTCAAGCCTCATTTATGTAACAATCAAGTTGTAAGAACCAATACTTTGGGTCTTGAAGGCAGAAAACGGTCATGATCAGATAACTATTCTGGCTATTGTTTATCTGCAAAAGTAAGATAATAGAATCAGTTGATCATCTCCTCTTTGATTGTGAAAGTTTATCCGCCATAAGAAATATATGCTTTAGCAACTTAAAAAATGATTTATGTAAATATTAATGAATATTTTTGTTAAAAACTTTCACAAGAATTTAAACATCATCTACTTCTAGACAATATTTATAATATGTATAAAAATGAAGAAATTTGTATGATTTTTGATAAACATTGTAAATCTTTTTTATCCAAGACCATTGCTCATAGACATAAATTAATAACAGAGATTACCACCCCCACTTACTTTTTAATTTATTTTAAAAATTGTTTTTATATCTTGACTTAATGTAAATAGTTGTTTTACACTCAGCATTAACTTTGTATTTTGATTTTTTATATCGTTTTTATATTGTATTTTCTGGGTCGAACCTCCCCTGCGCGAGAAGGTTCCTCTGTTTTAAAAAGAGTACCAATAAATCGTAAGTGCAGAAATTTACAATTTTTGAGAAATTCTTAATGAAGGCTCTTCTTTTCTTTTAGGTTTTTCTCTTTCATATGAGCCTTACAGAGTAGGAGAAATTATAAAACAGGTAATTTATTACATTTTTCAAATTCATAGACAGAAATTGAGTACTTTTCTTTAAATTAGTATATGAAAGGGTCAAATATCATGTAATATTTGTTATTATTTGTCATTACAATATTTTAATAATACATAATTTGTTTTGTAGTGATAATTTATAATTTTTTTGATTGCCTTATTAATTAGTTTATTACCTAATTAGGGAGAATATCCAGTGACAATAAGTGACATTGTATTCCTGATAAGAAGTCAGAAGGACCCAGTACATTTGAAGCGTGCAAAGCAAGTACGATATGATATTCAGCAACAGTGTAGAATCCAGAACTTGGTAAGTCTAAGCCACCTATGTAATACCACAATACTA